TATGGCCCCTCTTTAAGAGAATAAAATCCATCATTTACTAACAATGAAAATAATGTTTCAAGTGGTCATGTCTGAGGTAAGCACCTTTATCATTTGATTTAGTTGTTCTTGGTGGAGCTCTAGATTTCACAGTATCTTAATGCTTACATGTTTTTGTCACTTTGGCAATTTTATAAGCCTTTACTGAATCTATCTGAAGCAGCGGTGTCCAAACAGTCTCTGGCTTATGGGATATGCTGTTATTACAAATTAAGGTTGTGAGCCATGGCTGTGTCAGGGCTACCAATCATTGTTGCCAACTTCTAATGCTTCCTTAGCTAGACTATGACTCTTTTTTGCCTTTCCCCAGCAATCCTTATTCCATATTATTACTTTTTGGCACAAATTAATCAAACATTTCTGCTACATTTTCCCTCTCCCTAGTCACTTAAGTAAACAATGCAGAAACAATACACAGAGCTGAGCTGCTGCAGTGTGCAATACCCATCCTGTGCCAAAGGCCTGACACTTTCAAGAATCTACTGCATTGGAACATTGGATTAGAAGAGTTGAAAAATCAAACTATATTCCTGAGGGAAAAAAAGGCAATGAAGTACTAGGGATGCCAGCTATAGTTTCCACTTTAAAAATACAGTTCCTGGCTTTGATACAGACTCCTTGTGTTGCCTTGGGCAAGTCTATTAACATTTATTTGCATTGCAATAGATCTCAAAGTCTCCAACTAGGAACCTGCTGTGTTAGGCACTGTGCAAACATCTACTCTCTCTGTATCTTAATTCCGCAAGTATTATTACCTTCATTTTACACCTGGGCTACGTCTACACTGGCCCCTAATTCCGAAAAGTCATGCAAAGCAGGTAAGTCAGAATAGGGAAATCTGCGGGGGATTTAAATATCCCCCGCGGATTTAAATAAACATGTCCGCCACTTTTTTCCCGGCTTGGGGAAAAGCCGGAAAAAAGCGTCTAGACTGGCGCGATCCTCCGGAATAAAGCCCTTTTCCTACTTGAAAGTAGAACTAAGAGATCCTCCGGAAAAGGGCTTTATTCCGGAGGATCGCGCCAGTCTAGACGCTTTTTTCCGGCTTTTCCCCAAGCCGGGAAAAAAGTGGCGGACATGTTTATTTAAATCCGCGGGGGATATTTAAATCCCCCGCAGATTTCCCTATTCTGACTTACCTGCTTTGCATGACTTTTCGGAATTAGGGGCCAGTGTAGACGTAGCCCAGGTGTAAAATGAAGGTAATAATACTTCCTTTCAATCACCCCTTTTCTGACTTGTCTACACTGTAAGCTCTTCAGTACAGAGACTTCCTTACTATGGCGATGTATAGCACCTAGAACAAAGGTGCTCCAGTCTTAGTTGGCATGTCTAGGTGCTGCCACAATACAAGTAATAATTAGCTTACCTATTTTAGCATCATTAATTGCTACTTAACGTTACGTAATAAGGACTTTTTACACATCTGTTTGGAGATTATTCCTACATCCTCCAAGTTATGTGTTGATTGCTACCAGTCTGACTGGATATATTGTACCAGGGAGAGTTATAAAAATCTGTCTTTTTTTATTTTCTTGAATTACTCCAAGTCTGGGATCTGAAAGAGTTGGCTATGTGTGTCAATATATTCTATTTGTATTTCTTTAAAATCACAAAGGCAGAACTTGGGAAGTCAGAAATATCGATACTTAACAGGAAAAGCAAGATTTTGAAGATTTTTTCTTGTTTCCATACAGCAAAGCTCTCAACTTGTGTTATTCTGGATCTGTCTATATAATTTATAAAGAACACTGATCTCGATAAGAGGTACTAGTAGACTGCCTAATAGCATTTAAAATAGTGAGTTCTCCTGGAATAAGCAAACGACTAAGAGCCATTTTCTGTTCTAATTATAACTCTGTCACTGAGTCTGTGTGTGGCCTTGAAAAAGTCATTTAACCTTTGTAGTTTATATTCTCTATCTAAAAAATGGAAACAATCGTACTTATATATCAGCCTTCACAACTGTCATTTATTTTTCACAGTAAACTCAAAATGCAATACAATATAGATTTTGATGTTAAGAATAATAAGCCACAACATTTATCTTAACACATAACTTCTTAATTAAAAAAAAGCAATCTCTTTGTCATTTTAATGAAGGGCAGAGATTTCAAACAATGGGCATGTGTAGTAGATAGCAGTCTCTTTTTAGCACACCCTAATCATATATATATTTGTTAAGGAGCTGTTAAACCATCCAAGACAAATCCTTATTACAAATGGCTTATGACTAAGTTGATGAAGCTTGTGATATTATATTGTCTCAAGGCTGAAAGACAGCCTAAACACTTGCATCCGAAGTTTTTTTTTTTTAATGTAGCTTAAATTAAAGAGCAAAGAAAGAGTTCAGGAGTTGACAATTTTTGCTCATAGAGTATGTTTACACAGGGATAAAACTGCCACAGCTGGCACTGGTCAGCTGACTCAGACTTCTGTGGCTCAGGCTGCACACCTGAAAATTGCAGGATCCCAGAACTCAGGCCCTATCCCAAGCCTGAATATCTACATAGCAATGTGTTAGGCATGGAGCCTGAACCCCTTGAGCCCACCACAGCTGACCTTTGCCAGCCTCACATTTTTTATCCCTGTGTAAACTGTCTGTGTTTAGTGGCTGCCTATGCTCTGGAATCAGCGTATAATGATCTCACTAATGTAACCGTTGATTCCACTATACTGGTAGGGAAGCTAGTGTAGGTTCGGTCAACTTTCATCATTTTTACTGCTAGGTTAATTTACCAAGCTTTTAATTAACATAGTGGTGAGATCTGTTGGAGCCTTGTATACACTAGGATCCCATTGGTGCTACTAATTGTTTAGATAGTAGCATGAGTTTCAGGTTCTCTGGGGCAGAGAATGTCTCTTTTTGTTATATCATTTGTTCCTCGTCTAGCACAATGGGACTGAGGCCCCCGTGTATTGTCATGATACACAGTAAAATAATAATAGACACTTAAAATTCCCAACTGAACCCAGCCATTTAGTCCTCAAATGGTTTTAATCTAACAAGTAACCAATGAGAACCTGGTGCATCCACCAGCCTGGCCAAACAGTCAGTTTATTTCTGAAAATTCTAACTGTCCCACCATGCTTGCGGTGTATAGCAAGATTTTATTTTATCTGATTTTTTTTGAGTGATGGCCAGGGAAAATAAAGAGAAGGAGCTGTTGAAGGATTAGAATTGATTAATATTCAAAAATTCCATAAACCCTATATATAAAAATAATACAACAAAGGGATAGAGAATTATAGGTGGGGCTAATAGCACCACCCACAACTATGATTGCCCAACACTTCTCATTCTAAGATATTTTTTAATTGCTTATTAACTTTACCTTAGTTTAACTGTCTTGGTTTCCATTTTCCATACTTTTCATCTGTCATTGATTATTATTATTATTGCCATTTATTTATCACTATAGGAGCACCCAGCAGGGCCCTGATTCTGCCTGAGATCTTTTGTGTTGCTATACAAACACATAGGCACAGATGGTTCTTGTCTCCAAAGAATTTATAATCTAAAGATAAATTGCTGAGCTTAAGGCCTCCTGTTTCCCCACTGGTCACTGTGCCTTGCAGAAACAAGGAGTTCTACCAAGTCCCTTGACTTCAGGGCTGCCTGAATTCTTCAATCAGCTCCCTTCCTTCTAATCCCAACACACATTTTTCCATCCATTCTTTTTAACTTGGGTTAAATCCTATTAGGTTACCAGTAACCTGCTTACTTTTTAACTAATGCTTTTTAAATGGTATGTTCTCTATCAACCTTTCACTTTAAATTAAAGCTTTGTCCTGGGAAAAAAAGAAATGGACTTTGATACAGGAGAGTGCTGGTCAGTTGTTCCGTAAATAAACTGCAGAATAAGTGTTCTTCATCAATGCCGACAAAATAGTACCTAATAGTCACTGGCTACCTATACTATTTATTTGTGGCTTTAAAAATGCTTCATGCATTTCTATATAGATCTCCTTCTCTATTGTTTAACTGTTTTTAATTGAATTCTTATAAAGTTCTACAACATTTGTTTCGTGTGGCCAAAAGGAGAGTGCTGTGTATGAAATTCTGTTAGTTAATCATGTAGTTTTTTCATTCAGTACAGTTTTACCATGACCTGATCATGCAGTGTATTGTGCAGGAATTTGTCTGAGCACACTGTTGGATCAGGGTCCATCTCTGCATCTGTTAGATATGCAAATACACAACTATGTTCATGTACAAATAATTTCAATAACTTCAATAAGTGTATTTGAACCAGAACTGTTTACTGCATGTACACTGATTATCTAAAAGATAAAACCAGATTTGTTCATTATTAAGGCACTGTCTGAAATAAATAAAATAGACAAGAATCTTCAGGACACAGGGGTCAGGAAACAGTAAACAATATTCACTTTAACCCAGTCAGACATTGTTGTATAGAGTATTATGGGGATGTTATCTGCCTTCCTCTGAAGCATCAAGTGCCATAAAGCTTTAAACACTATCAGGCAAGATATCAAATTAAATGGTACAATGGATATGGTAAGGCCTATATTTTTTAAATAACTGGTAGTTTTTATTATTATAATAAATATAGCTGTTATACAGATTTCTTCTAGTGTTTTTCCCACTATTTCAACATGCTCTACTATAGTAATGCAGCCTTGCAAAAATGTACAAGGTGAATACTTTTATACCTGTGTAAGAACAGTATGAAGGATTCTTCATGTATGCAACAATATATTTTAATGCATAAAACGTCTATGTTATCTTTATGACACCATCTTCTCACGCAGTGTAACTTCAGTTTGACTACTGCTATATATACAGCAGAACTGCTCAGAAGCATTTTCTAGCCAGAGTTGAAGTGATACTAATTATATGTCTGGACTGAAGAAATGACCATGAGCTTTTCCATTTGCAAGTCACAGGAGGAGAGTTCATGGTGGAATTCAAATGTAAAAGTGGAAATGAAAAATACCTGAGAATGTTTGGAGACCCAGTGACGCAGGACATTGAGGACACGGTTAGTGGCTGCTCTGCGTATTATGAACTCTTTGTCACACATTCGTTCAGAGTTGTTAAATCCTGTAGGAAAAAATAACCATAATTACACATGAAACTAAAGTGAACCTTTAAATCCTCAATATGTATTGTTAATATTTCTGGTAAAGTGAAAGCATACAAGACATTTCCATGTAATGGAAGAAAATGGACAGATGCAGAATACGTCAAATATCATTTGGGCTGTAGAAATGTTGCTGCAGGATTCACATGAGATAATTCCTCCCTACTGTAGCTAAATAGTTTCCTATTGTGCTTAGTTCTCAGTAATAAGCTGAGAGGTTGTCTGCCTGAGTCAGGTGAAAAGATAAGAAATGGCGGGGAGAAGGGCAGGCGAGAGAGAGAGAGAGAGCGTGGCATGGGCTAGAGAAAATGAGACAGGAAGACAGACTGAAAGAAAGATGAATCTGGTTTTGAAAATGGAAGTTAAAGAAGAAAATAGGGAACGAAATGACAAAAATGTAAAGGAGAGAAAAGTCTGCCAAAGAAATGTCCCTTCATAAAAACATGACAGTACTGTTCAGGCTGTATCAGTCAATAAAGAAAGCCCTCCGTAGCATTCTTTAAAAATCGGTGTGATGAACAAGTGGGAGGAGAGTAAGAGGAGACATGCTTGCACATTGTCACCAGGTCTGCACTAGACCTGGAAGGTTGGCTTAAGGTACACAATTCCAGCTATGTAGAATATATAGCTGGAGTCGGTTTACCTTAAGCTGAGCTTGGTGGTATCCACACAATGGAAGGCTGAGGGGAGCAAATGCTTCCATCAGCTTCCCTTACTCCTCACGACTGCGAGGAGTATAGGCGCCAGCTGGAGGTGCCATATGTGTTCAATTTATAGGTCTATACAAGACCTGCTAAGTCAAATGCCAGAATGCCAATTTCTGGCGTGGTGAGTGTAGACATGCCCTAAATTTGACTTCCTTGATTTCAAAGTTAGTTTGTCAACTGTCATATCCCTATAGCTTTTTATGTTTGTTTCCTACTGTATTTGCTTAAGAACACATATTTTTAGAAGCATGCCTAGACTACCTAGATTTCTGTTACTATTTCTTTCTGCAGTTCTCTAGTAGGGTTGATTATAATATACTATATATGCTAGTGAATATAAAATTTGTATGCTTCAAGTACTCAAAGTATTCAATGATTTTGGATTTTTTTTATTTAGGAAGTTCACATTATCCATCCTAATTGTAACTGTAGGTTACCTGTTAGGTTCAGTCTTTGATTACATTGCTTTTGATGTCCCTCACAACTGAGTCCTATGACCATTCTAGATGATTTCTCCTGTATAACAAGCACTTTAAAAAAAATAATAAATCTATTCAAATAAAAGCAGACTCTAAATCCCCCTAAACTGTTGTAAAAACAAATGGCAGACCAAAACTTCTATATGTTGTGTGAAAAGTACTGAATGCATATTTTGCTCTGCTTTTGTTTGCTTTTAAAGACAAACCAAAACCAATCATCTGTTATAGTTCCAGAAAAGTGCATTGAAAAAAGACAGCTAGGTCCTGTATTTTATACTAAAGATTAGACTTCAAACCTAAATTTGTTTTACTGAATTATTGTACCGTGGCTGATATTTAAGGAACATCAAAGGAAATTTCATATTAAAACATTTTCAAGAGTTTAATTATCCATAAACAGAACAGCACATAAAATCTCAGTGGTTTTAGCCAATAAAGGGTAACCTAGGTAACATTTCTCTGCTAAATATCTATTCCTTTCACAGTTAACCTCTTGAAGAAGCAATTAGGCATATGTATTATAAATTGTTCAATTAGCCACTACTGCAGCACTAAAAGTCACAAAAATGATACATTAAGTCTACAAAAATCATTCCTACTTCTACTTTTCTGCAAAATAATGGGAAAAAAAGAAAGAAAAAATGAAAACCCTTCAAAAATCTCTACTTTTGTGCAAACTCCACAGCCTTCTCTTTCCTCACCCCAGCGTTTTCATCAAATTTTAAAGTCGTTAGTTTATTGCACAACTGAGGAGTAAAATTCCATCCAATGAACTGATGGCAGTAAAGCGGAATCTCAGAATTATGAATGCTCCAGGAATGGAGGTTGTTTGTGACTCTGAAATATTTGTAATTCTGAACAAATATTTATAGCTGTTCTTTCAGAAATCTGCAACTGAACATTTACTTAATAGATCTTTGAAACTTAAATATTCAGAAGCAAAATGCTGTTGCTTTCTCTTTATTTTTTAGTAGTTTGTGTTTGACACACTACTGTATTTTTATTTATTTGTTTGTTTATTATTGGTCTCCGCTGCTGCCCAGTTGTGAACTTCTGGTTCCAAATGAGGTGTATGGATAACTGGTCAGTTCACAGCTCTGGCGTTTAAAATGTTGAGCTTTAATTGTATTTAGCTTTGACCCTGTGGTCCTACACATGAGGAGCTCCCACTGAGAGTACAGAAAGAACGGCTGAATTGTGATGTGCATGTTTAAGAGGAAAATTTTGTCTCAGATCTGATTTTTCAGTGTATGTAGTTTACTTTGGTTTTCCTTAAGTTAAGTTGTGTTAATCTGCCCCCCTCTTCCAAGACTCAGAGAGAATACTTGCCACTGACTGTTGTCTTCTGCTAGAGGCAGGAAGGATGGTTCTAATTTCATTTTTACAAGTTTCTCAAAATTTCTTGATAATTTGGGCCTGATAGCACCTGCAAGGAGGATTCAATAGTCACTATTACTGTTTGGAAGGAGGTGACTATAGCTTCAATTGGGAGGATAGCTCGAGCTATCTTTGTCTTCACGGGCAGACAGGTTGCCTGAAGGCGGGCATATCTTCCTCTCCTGCATTTGCAGATCAGAAAAGTGCTTGCCCTTGCTGCTGAGCTCCAGCTGGCAGCATAGAGTTCAAGGTGTGTTTTTTTGTGCTGTGGGGGTGTAATGTGGGGAGTGAATGCCAGCAGAATGCACTAGCGTACTCAGGAACACATTCTGCATTGTCCAGTCCTCTGGTGAGTGGCCAAGTAATTTAATCTCATTTCCCCCAACTGTAAGACAAATCAACAATGCTTAACGATCTCACAGGAATGTGTTTCTTTCTTAGTGCTTTTGCTTTTTGTAGATTGGCTACTGTCCACATATCAAAACATTATGATTATTGTAACCACTACAATGCAGACTGATCATCACAAGGAAACAGATGAGTAGATTAGACTAAATCTGAATTCTCTTAACAATGTTACTGCTCTCAATATATTGAATATCTTTTAAATATTTTTGTATACACCATCTCACCTATTAAAAATAGCTATTATTTCCTGAGATCCATTTTTCAGCAGCATTTTTAAAGCACCCGTCACTGTATGGTAGTATTTACACACATACTACCTGTGCTATACAAAATTAATTTCTTCTTTCTGGTCACGTCATGTGTATTTATCTATGGGAAGAAGTGATCTAGCCCCATTGCTTTAGGCTTGTGTTCCCCAATGGGCTGTGGGCCTGCTTTGGGAAAGCTGCTAGCGGGCTACTCCACTTTGCATCCTGTGAATTCTTGTGGCTGGAAACGGTGAATGGGAGCTGCTTTAGATAAACAAAGCCGAGCAGCCTGCTAGCAGCTTTTCCAAAGCAGGCCTGTGGCCCACTTTGAGAAATAGCACTTTAGGCTATAGGCTCAAGTCAACCATGTACTGAACATCTATAGGTGCTGAAGGTTTTCCATTCCCCAAACATTCAGTGGGAGCTGCAGATGCACAGCACCTCACAGGAGTGACTCAGTACTCAACAAGGTCAGATTCTGTACCATCAGTAGTACTAAAATTACTATACAAGTTCTATGGAACAAACTGGAAGTACTACTTCAAAAGAAAATAAACCAGTTAAATCTTCATCTGTAAGGTTCATTATATATGCTGCTTAATATAGGATTGATTAGTTTTTGGTTGCTGCCATATTCAAAAATTTCTACAGTTGATAACTGCAATAAAAGTAATAATGTGATATAATTTCCCAAACAACAGAGAAACAAATATGAAGATGATTACAGGGGGCAAAGTAACAGATCTCTTTTAGCTATTAGCAATTCATATGTTAAATGAAACAGATTTAAAAACTTTAAGGGTGCAAAATGAAGCAGAGAATTCAGGAAATGCCAAGGTTGAGGTGGCCTGTGAATCTTTGACTCTGCTCTCTTGTGTGCATGCATTTTGATATAAACTTTAATTATGAGCATATGCCCTTATTTCCACAAAGTGACTGCTGATTTTACACCAAGTGCAGCAGCATAGCTGAGGCTATGGGTCTGTTCAGCAGAAAGTCTTCCAGAAACAGGAAGTCAGAAGCATAGGCTACCTTTAAGCTCTGTGGCACCTGAGGTCAGAGGCCTGGAGTCAGCTGACACAGCACACAAGATAGGCCGGTGCAAGGGGTGCAAACTGCATCTCCTCTTTGTTCCACACACATGCCAGTGAAAGGGAATTCAGGTCTATGAGCTCCATCTACTAAAGAAGCATCTATTCTCTCTTTGCTACGAGGGACACCAAAAAATCCACAGGTAACTACAGCCATTGCCTGATGGAACTCAGATAATCGACAGAGATGACCTGTTTCTCTCAGAATATTCTCCCCGGTAACCAACTGCTTCAACAGTTTTGTTTCCATCAGTTGTCCCATACTATGACTTAGCCAACAAAGGAAGAAGATTCAAAGCTGAGTCTTACATTGCTTTTGGCAGCAGAAAATACTGCAGAAATTAATGCTTTGATTTTTAAGGGAGCAGCTGCTTCCTATCTCTGTTCCTCTGCAGCTGGCCACACCATTTCCCAGCAGGTGAAGGCTATCATCCATTGGGGAGGTGATGCATGGAGCATGCAGCATAGCTTTTCCTCCTATTCTATTCAATATTCTCAGCTATATTTGTCCATGTTTCCATTCTTTTGCTATCCCCCAAGCAGAATATTCTCCTGCACTTTTCACTTGTTTCCTTAGCTAACCTTTTCCTGATATTCAGGCTGAACTTTCGCAAGCTCCACAGAGGCCAAGCTGCAGTCTCACCATACAA